TCCTGCACGCTCCCAGAACATTTAGCAGTGCCTCATGGAAAGGTCTTGATTGCTACTTAGGATCCGATCATGTGACCGACATGACAGCCAATCACAGCGGTCACATGACCCTAAACCCTGCCCTGCCTCCCAATGTCACAAACCCCTTGAAAGGCTGGAAGGCACTGGTGCCAAGGGCTTAAAGAAGACTTTCATTGCAATAGTAAGGGACTACTTAGCAACCAACAACTGTTTAGAGAACAAGGTTGACTTACTAAAGAAATTGAGAATTTTCACACAATAAATTGTGATAATATTCCCTTCAATTATCCAGTCATGTGAAAAACATATTCCTGTTTACTTATTTGTGCACATGATTGGCTTTTCAAAGTGAACTGGATTTTTTTTTCACATCATTGGATAATTGAAGAGAATATTTACACACAACTGTGTAATGTATTGTACACACAAGTATGTAATGTACAATATAGCTTAAATAGTGCAGGAGTTAGAAGTATATATTGTACAGAGTGCAAGGATCAGAAGTGTGTAATACACAAATAGTGCATATATGGCGCAAGGGTCAGTAAGTATGTAATGCACAGAGTGGATATGTCTGCCATATGAAATGCATAGAGAGCAGGCGTCATAAGAATTCAATGCGCAAAGTTCTGAGGTCAGGAGCATGTAGCACACAGCCCATTGTACAAGTTCAGCGGTTAGGTATATATCACGTTTGCACTGTGTTCAGAGTACAGGGGTAAGGAGTATGTAATGTACAGAATGCAGATGTATGGAATATGTAATGAACAGTGCAGGGGTCAGGAGTATGTAGCACACATAGTACAGGAGCCAGGATTGTGTAATTTACACAGTGCAAGTGTCAGAAGAAAATAATGCACAAAGTGCAGAGGTCATGCATATGTAAGGAACAGCTCAGTGCACAGTGTGTAGGGGTGAGGAGTATATAATGTGCAAAGTGCATCAGCCATAAGTACTGTATGTAACACACAGCAAGGAATATAGAGTAGGGCAGTCAGGAGTATGCACATACATCCCAGAGTACAGAGTATGGTGGATTGTTGCTGTTTGTATGTAGTGCTGTAAATTGCATACTCCTGATCAGTGTCGGTATGGTGTGCTGTACATTGCATTCTCCTGACCACCACACTCTGTATGCTGTGCTATGTGCTGTGCATACTGCTGGCCACTGTGTTTTCAGCATATAGAGTGCAGTGGTCAGGAGTACTTAGCAAACCAAATATAATGCAGTGTTTAGGCATATGTAACTAATGGCCCCTCTTACAGAGTATTCAATTTAAGAGTACTCTCCCAGCATCAATTCAGCCACCCCACAAGTAAATATTCCTCTTGTCCCTCTCCTCAATTCCCCCCTCCCCAGGCAAAAAGTCACCCTCATCAAACACAAATTCTACAAACAAAAATTTCCCCCTTGCAAAAATACAACTGCTAGTAGAAATCCCCCCTTTTACTTTGCCCTCAAGTAAAAGTCACCTTTCCTCACCCTTACTCCCAGCAAGAAGCTCCCCCAAGCAAATTGTGTCTTTGCAAAAATATCCTGACTTCTGTTATTCCCCACAATAAAAAATCTCACCCCAACAAAAATCCCCCTCCTCCCCAGAAAAATCCCCCCAGCCTAAGTCTCCCTCCTTCCTTATTTGAGGCTTACCTTCAGCTGAGTCAGAGCCAAGGAAGAGCCAAGGAGGAATCTTGGCTTAGGTGCCACTGACCCATTATATGTCCTCATGTCTTCTAGATCTAGCAAGTCTCATGTGCCACACTTTTGATGAATGGATTATTGTATATGGCTTTGAATACTAGCAACATATTCTAATGCACATATACAGTACAGTCATTTTGACTCATATAAAAAGAGCAATTTAGGTTTATGTTGATCTATGATTACAAGACATCAGTGCATCTTCTTGGGCTATATTAGGGTGTTCCACTCTACAGAGGTTTTGTTACTCGGGCTCTCTTCTTCCACAGTTGGAAGATATCCTGTATATAACTTGGCTGATATGTACATGAAACCTATGTTTCTTGGGCTCGAGAGTAGGTATCTTTTGCTTAGCCTTTTGTTTGATTTACAGTAATATTTTTTTGTTTTACATTTTTTAATCTTTTATTATTAAGTGTTCTTGCATGGCAAGACCACTTACTGTTATCTCACATATATATTCTTGTTATTATAGCCAAATTTACCACCCTAACTCCTCCCACAGTTTTTACACTACATAGACAGTAATATACCGAAACGTGGGGATTGTTCCCGATTGGTGTGCTATTACTTTGTGGAACGTTTTGCCGAATGGTTCACGAAATATCGCCGTTTTTGTGGTGAAATTGGTCCCATAGGAATGAATGGCGGAATGTTCAAAACTAGAGTGGGAGCTGACAAAAGCTAGGGTGTGAGCTGAAAAATCAGGACACGATTTCTAAACTGCCATCACTCTCTCATTTTCAAGCCCACCTACACAAATCTTATATCAAAACGTTTAGTTATCCCCGCTGCCACTAAAACTGCTAAGCCATAGTCCTGATAGTTTTCACAATATGACCATTTGTTTGCAACGCACGCAGCCCATTGACATTCATTGAAACTGCACTCTAGCCACCTCAAATTTGAAAGACAATTTCTAAACTGCGACTGTGCCTTCATTTTTAATATTTTAGAGACATACTATGTATCAAAATGTAGGTCTGGGTCTTGTGATTCTCACAATATAAACCTCTTCACTGTAGGATTTATAGATTTTAAAACTACGACCATTTGAAGATGGCAGTGAAGTGAGCAATTTGGAGCAGTTTGTTTTTAACCGCTCTTCTCTGTCCTATTTGAAATCTAATTTTGAATTCGTGACAGTTTGGCCGGCTTCTGGTTAATGGTTTGGAAATAAGTTTTCTACAGTAGAGAGTATTTGAGGTGATAATGCTGCTAATGTTTTTATAAATGTATGTTTTAATGTAACTGTGAACCACTTTGGGCAACAACATTGCAATTAAATGTGCTATATAAATAATTAAAAGTTGAAATGCATTTCTCACTCTATCAAGCTTGCCATGTGCACTTTTTAAATTTGAACAATCAGTTGGTTAGTGTAATGTTTACTACCTTTACTCACTCCAAACACTCCACACAGTTACTCTGCCCACTCCATAAAGTTACTCTGCCTAATCCAACCTTTTCACAGTTACTCCAGCCACTCCAACCATACAACAGTTACTCAAGCCACTCCACCCAGTTACTCTGCCCACTCCAGTTGTAGACTACTGGTGGAGGCAAGAACACTTCACACAATTTTCCAAGAAATTGTAGCTTTTCTAGTTGTACCTTACTGTACTGTATATTGTTGTGCTGTACAATTTTCTTCTTATAATAAAAATTCATTACAGAAAAAAATAAATAAAAAGAACAATCTAAGGAGCTTGGGGCAAGGCAGTACTTGATTCCTACTTGCCGTCTTCTGCAAGATAATGCTTTTTGGATCTAGATCAGTCAGCTGCTTCAGTAAATTACAATATGAACTTAAAGTGTATTTATTTGAAGAAAAAACAGATGTTGCATTTTTTTTTATTTTGTACTTTTATATACTGTAGTATCAGCACATTCCATCTAGACATACAGCCTAGGGGTCAGTTCTGGTGGAAGCTGACTCACCTACTATCATGTTTTTGGACTGTGGGAGGAGACAGGACATACAGTATATGAGGAAATACATGAGGGAATAGAGAAGCACATTCCTTTAAGTTTGTATCCTACAATGAATTAAATGAAGTCATTGGTGCTGCAAGGCTAAGTGCCCATTTTTTAAACAGAGAGAGAACAGCAGGCAAATATAGAACACTGTAGTGCTCTCCATTAACATTCTAGACATGTGGCACTCAATGTACACTATTTGCTGTTTATTTTATTTCAAAACTGAACATTGTAATGTGCTGTGCTGCTTGCATATAAAGTTCAAAAATCTTCATTTACAATTCATGAAATAGGTAGGAATAGGTCTACATTTACTAATCTACCATTCTTCACCTTCAAGTTTGTCTCAATATGTGAAAAGTTTACACTTGGTCCCAACTGATACCACTCTCCTACTAACTAACCTAATATAATAGTTACAGAAACATAGCCTGAGGTAGAGGTTATACTTTTGATACATCATTATAGTCATTTTATTCACTCTGCAGGTGCAGAACAGCCACCCCCCTGAAAAGCCAGGTGCACACAGTAGTGAACCATCTACTGCTTTATGCCATTGTTCTTAATGTGTGTTGGCTTGCTTTACATGGTGTTGTTTTTGCTCCTTTATCATGACGGCATTTTAACATCCAAATTAAACTTTATTTGCCACAAACCACATATATTATACAGGGTGTAAATGCAAGCATCATGAGAATTCCCCTAACACGCACTGAATCTGAAATATGAGATGATTAGAAGCGTCTATGCATGGAACTGAATTTGATTATAGAGATGGTTCTAAAAGAAATAAAACCAGACAAAAATAATACACACATGTATTGTACATTGTTTTTTTACTTTAGGTAAACATTTTTGCAGTGCCTTTTCAATTTATTTTTATTACAATTAGTATTCATTGATTGAATGAATGTTATATATAATCTAATTATTTATATAGTATGTAAACCCCAGACATATTACATTCATAAATGGTTTTCTTACTTTGGCTATTGTGGGAAATCAGACTCTAGTAAAAGTATAAGATTTAGGAAGTGATTTATCATAGAGTGTGTTTGTTATTAGCTATTCTATATTCCCCTCCTATGCTATCTGACAGTTGTGGATGTGTTAGATAGTGTACTCCCACAGGTGCTGTGGTTCCTCCCCCCTGCCTCTACATCATTTTTTTATAATGACATATCAGCTAGCAAGAAAACCAAAAATACCGTATTTCGCGCTCCATAAGACTCACGTGACCATAAGACGCACCTAGGTTTTAGAGGCGGAAAACAAGAAAAAAAATATTCTGAACCAATGGACTGCAGACACAGTACAGGAAATGACCAGAGACTGCGGACACAGTACAGGAGATGTCCAGAGACTGCAGACACATTACAGGAGATGACCAGAAACTGTGGACACAGTACAGGAGATGACCAGAGACTGCAGACACAGTACAGGAGATGACCAGAGACTGCAGACACATTACAAGAGATGACCAGAGACTGCGGACACAGTACAGGAGATGACCAGAGACTGCGGACACACTACAGGAGATGACCAGAGACTGCGGACACACTACAGGGGATGACCAGAGACTACGGACACAGTACAGGAGATGGACCAGAGACTGCAGACAGTACAGGAGATGACCAGAGACTGCGGACACAGTACAGGGGATGACCAGAGACTGCGGACACAGTACAGGAGATGACCAGAGACTGTGGACATAGTACAGATGACCAGAGACTGCGGACATAGTACAGGGAAAAAAACAGGGACATAGTACAGATGACCAGAGACTGCAGACAGTGCAGGGGATGATCAGAGACTGCAGACAGTAAAGGAGATAACCAGAGACTGCAGACCTTTGGGGAGAGAGGGGGAGCGGGTATCTGAATTTGACAGGTACCCGCTCCCACTTCTGTGGAGTTGTCCTTCCCTCTTTTTCTCGCACCGGCTTCTGTGACAGCTGGGTGCCCACTGTGCATGTGCGAGAAGCACTGCGCTTTGTGAATGGCCCGGCGCCTTCTGGGACCTGTCATGTGCCCCAGAAGACACCGGACCAGTGCAGCGCTTCTCGCACATGCGCAGTGGGCACCCGAATGTCACAAAAGCCGGCGCGGGAAGATTGTACAGCGCTGGAGAGAGGAACAGGTAAGGCCCTGCAGGAAAGAAGAGCTGAGCGGCCGGCCCGATATTCTGACATGGTGGCGGCAGAAATACCGGACCGGCCGCTTTATATTCGCTCCATAAGACGCACTGACATTTTCCCCCCTTTTTTTGGGGGAAAAAAGTGCGTCGTATGGAGCGAAAAATACGCTATGTGGCTAGGAACATGCTGTCTGGCCCACATGAAAGTGAAAGTGTTGGAAAGCAGTGGCAACCGGAGTTATTGAGGAAATACAAGATTTGACTTGCCACCCATTGGGCAGGTATTTTTCTTTTACAGCCTGCAATTTTTTTATATCAATGTGACAAAGTAATTTTAAGTGTAAATAAAAATAAAGTGTCTCATGCTGGTCAGATTAGTTTAAAATATTATTAAACCCAAACGCAAACATTTATTATATTACAGCTTTCCAATTAACCAATTCTTAGATGTGATGGCTGAATTAGCTTCCTTTTTTAGGCTTTTTTTCTATTTTCATCTGGTTCCAGCAAGTCTATTTTTTCTAGTCTAGTTTTTCAAAAGCATCTAGCTCTCCAGCAGAATGTATCGGTTTACATGGGTGAGACAAACCACTTAACACTGGCAGGGGTGATTAAAATGATCTGCTTTTGTTTATTCACATATTAAAAAGTGTAACAAATAATAATCACTAGCAGAGCTGTGATATATACCCAAATTAATAAAATAAATAATATTAATCAAACATAAAGTAGTCTCCTAAAACACCATTCTGGGTTCGGTGAGTTCAATAATATAAGTAAAATGTATAACACAAATGTACTTCTTCCACCACACCAGTTGTGATATCACATGTGCACCTTCTTCCAAGAATCACCAGAAGTTATTGCCTGTGATTTTTCGGATAGGCAAGAATAGCTCAAAGCAGAGCATGCTTTCACTTCTTCTCAATGTATTCCTCTCCAGCTCCACTCAACTCCAGAGATGACCACGGATCAAATTAAAAGAGAAATGCTCCACATAGTGCAATAAAATCCCAGTGAAACCTTTATCCAATAGAAAAAAAGCTCACCAAAAAACTCTTTTGCATTTAGACACATCAATAATATTTGATGAGCCTGATCACCAACACACAGAGATAATGCAAAACAAAGGATTGGCGCCTGGCTCTACTCACCACATTTGGCCTTCTGCATGATGTCACTTCCGCAAATCTCACTTCCTGTCCACACCGAGTCACATCCCAACATGTTTCGTCCTTTCCGAACCTTTTTCATTCTTTATACAGTGTATATTTAATTTACATTTTTAATTTGAATAATAATTTATTTCACATTTGGCCTTCTGCATGATGTCACTTCCGCAAATCTCACTTCCTGTCCACACCGAGTCACATCCCAACATGTTTCGTCCTTTCCGAACCTTTTTCATTCTTTATACAGTGTATATTTAATTTACATTTTTAATTTGTATAATAATTTTTATTTCACGTTTGTTTATAACACTTTTTTTTATTATATATATGTTTTTTATTCTATTTTTAGTAGAGCAGAGTTGGGGTTTGTAAAAGGTTTTATTTATTCATGCAAAACCTTACTCCAAAAGTAAAACTGATTTTAACGTGCGAGCTGGAGTTCGGCTTCCATTTGTTAATGTTTCTAAATTTGCTAATACATTTAGAACTCCTCTCCCCCTAGACTGACAGTGGTGTTGTCTGCTGTGCCCCTTGTGCTCATTCCTTCATAGTGGTGTTTCACTAATACAGGAGGTGGGTTACTGGTCAGATTAGCAGGAGAAAACAAAGGGGGAAAAAGCCATAGAAAGAAAAACTGATGCAGATGCCACGTTTAATGATTGGTAAGCTTAAATACAATACATATTTGGTTTTGGATATAATACGCCTTTAGTAGACCACTATAAGGGTGTGATGTAAATCTGAGAGGTCATAAAAACTATGTAAACTAACAATGCTAGTATTTATATCTTCGTATCCTGTATATGTTATTGATTTTGGAATATTTATTGTATTTATGTGCAGTGCCTCTGTAGGCTACTAGTGGTAAATGTAGTTTTTGGCCTCTCTGTTGCCAGGGAGAACATTAATTGTTTGGTTAAGTCTGTTCTGGGTACTGTTGGTGCAGGCTTGATTGCTTTCCCTTCTATCTCAGGGAGTTTTGGGACATAGTGGGTGGAAGAATACAAACACTGGGCTGCATATTAATGCCTCTTCAGCCAATCCCTGGTCAGTGGAGCGAGTGACCAGCAGGGGGATGAAAGGGGTATACATAGCTAGGAGGGAGAACAGAGCTCTCTTGTTTCTAGAGGAATAAGACCCAGCCTGAGGGCTTTGGCATCCCTGGAAGTTCACCTGCAGCTAAAAGAATCCTTTTTGGGGTCCCAGTTTCTGCCTAGGCTGGCCTAGCCTCTTGAGGATTGAAGAGAGCTCTTCTAAGGATCCACGACACAGGCAATCCAAGTACAGAAACTGACTGTTACTGCATTCAGCTACACAGTATTCAGGAAACAGCTTACCAGGCATGGAGCTTTTCTTTGGCTTCTTTTGGGAGATCTTTTCCTTTGTACATTCAGGACTATACTTCTGCTGATGAGTCCCTGTTTAGTACCAGTTTACTTTCACTTTAAAGGGGGTACCCTGAAGGAATAGTTCAGATTAAGTGTCCTCTACTTCAAGTTGTTAAAGTTTATTGGAGTATCCCTAGGCTCATTCTCACCCTATCTCAATTCTCTAACAAAAATGAAAACCACAAAAAATAGACATGAACAGCCTGTTCTCTGTGTGCCCATCAGAGAATAGAACCTAGGATCAAACAGCCAGACCAGTGTCAGCTCTGCACTACACATGCATTAAGGAAACAATACTATACAGTATTACAAGATTTCAATAATGTTAGCAGTTTATAAAGTATACATTACAGCCCCAAGTCTGTATCTGGAGGATATTTAAAGTCCTTATAGAAAATGGTTTTGGCTGGTTTTTAAACTCTTAAACATTTTTATTTTTATGAGTCATATGAGAAAGGTGGGGGGGTCATATTATAAGGCAACATTACATAATCTAAGCACAGGAGGTACTTGGGAAAGCACTCCAATGCTTGCTTGAGTAATTTCCCTGGGCACCTCTGCAGTAGAATTATCCACCGGTGTATCTCCACTCTGCAGGCTTTTATTCTTAAAGGGAACTATCTTGTATCCCCTCCAGAGTCCAGTCAAGTGCAACCCTTGTTCCTATACCCCTGTAAAAAATGCAGTCAGAATATTATATACAAGTAAAATATAATTGTCACCTTGAGAAATAATAAATCAAAATGTCTTAATCACTGAACATATGCTATCACTTTTCTTTAAAAATGATCATATTTCAAACTGAAGCACTGGAGAATTATTTCTAGTTCAGTTTTAAGGAAATCAACATCTAATCCTGTCATTGTCAGAATAACCAGCTATAACATATTATATTATGACAGTACAAGGAGTATCAACACGGTTGTGTTCAGGAGAAAAGGAAATCTAATTAGAAGTTTTAAATTGTGTGATGCACTTGGCATTTGGTCTCTAACTCTGTTATGGCTCTGTGTGACCCTATTACAGATACATCCTCATCGTAATTGTCAAGAACATTTGTAAATTTTTTTTTATCTTCAGATTAAATTGACCTCATTAATATGCTGTTTGGAAGATTTCATTTATAACCCATCTTGCTATTCACACCTTTATATACAAAACAATTAGCTTATTTGATTTCTTTATTTTGTGTCATTTATCTTGATTGACCTCTTTGTTTTTACAGCCTCCTATCATGTAGCAGAAGCAGTTGTAAAATAAAAAGCCTGCAGTGTGACATGAAAGGCAGACTAGAACACAGACTCCCCATGGAGTCAAGGTTAGTGAAGCTCTGTGCATACAGAGGAGCTTGAATTTTGAAGAGGGCAATCCGACTTCACTAATTGTGCTGGTTCACAGTCATGCACATCAGAGTTAGAGCAGTAATGACCTCTGCTAAGGATCAGGAGTTTGAAATCCGTGACTGGTTCCACAAGACGATAATTATTATGTATGGTACTAAAGAAGGCATTTCCTGCTGCTTTCCCATCTACTGCTACCTGTGTCTTACTAAACACCCAAGGCTCCAGGCAGCAAACAACAGTACTAGTAAAAATAAGAAAGTCTTGTCTGTCTTGTATAAAAATAAAAATACATAGTCACTGGTCTTGAAAATATAATATGCTTTTCTCTAGTAATTTTACATTCTTATAAAAAAAACCCAATTGGATTATATACACTATATGTAGACATATTTGTGTGGGAGATACAGTATATAACAAATTCACTACATATGCATGTTAACTTTTACCAGAATACAGATATTGTAATTGTTTATATTAATCCAATTAGAGAATACAATTTTTGCCAAATTGACTACTTAAATATTATAGTCTGACAATCCGAACAGTTTGTGTTTTCATTTGTCAAAAATAGGCATAAATAATATAGCAGTTAAACTTTCAGATAAAAAGGTGTCTTTTTAAAAGCAAACCTGATATATGAAACTTGAGGGCCAGCATTGCTGGCCTCCATTT